GGGTGGGGGGGCTTGAGGTGGTCCCGGGCCAGAAGTATGGACTGGGCGGGGCTGTCATGGTTCTCACATTCCAGTTCCCTGCATCTGGGATGCGACAGTAGGGAAGGCTTCCTTGGGGGCCCAAGTTCTCTTGTCCCTGACAGGCCATGGGAATGGGGGAGAAGACTCTGGTCCGAAGGAGAACACGTCCACCAGTCCTGAAATTGGCGCCGTTCTGAAGCAAGGCTGTCACTGTCCAGGAGGGGCCTTGGGAACCAAGAAGCAAGGTGGAGGGAGGGAGATCCTAAGGGCGGAGCCCGCACCCCCACTCACCTTTCCCACAGCCTCCTCAGGCGCCTCCAGCTGTTTCCCACTGCGAGAGGGAGGAGAGAGTTGTGGAAGGGCTCATGGAGGCTGCTTGCTTTTACCCAAGTGCGCTAACACTGCCCTAGGCACCAATCTGATGGGAGGTCTGCCCTACCTCCTAGGGGAGAAGACTGAGTGCTTCGTCCTCTCCACTCGCCAAATCCCTGCCCTCCCCATTACTTAGTGACTCTCTCCTCCTATCCCCTCCGGACTGTTCTGTGAGGTGTGGATTCTTTCCTGTGGGGCCACACCTTTCTAGAGTGGTGGTAGCTTCTGGGATCTGGTCTCTAACCCACTCGCTGTTATGAGAAGAGCAGAAGCCTCCTGGGAGTGGGGCCTAGGGGGGCCGGATGCCCAGGAGGGTGGGGTGGGGGAGGAGTGTGCCTGAATAATGAGCCCTGCTTGCTTTTGTGCAAGTCATGCCAAATGGCTGCTGGGGCCCTTCCCTTGCCAAGGAAGGCCTGGTGACCACCTTGGTTAGAGTCCCTTAGGCCAAGCAGCTTGTTAGGCTGGCCTAGGCTGTGCGGCTCTCCCGGAAGCCTCTCTAGGACCGCCTGAGCCTTCAGAGCTGAGATAGTGACTGGTAGCCTTGAGAAGGGCTGAGGGTCTCTGGGTGAGAGGAGTCAGGGTCCAATTCTTTGGGTGTGTGCTGAGCTTTGGTTGCCAGGTTGCTGTATGCCAGCCTTACTGCCAAGTCATTCTTGCTTTACCGAACCTTGTCCTTCAGAAACACTAAGTTTTCAACAAGTATGTGCTCCTACTATCTCTCTTTTAAATTGTTGGTTTTATGATATGGGGTTTTTCCACACTTGACCCCCCCCCCCCAACCCCACTCCAGACACACACACAAAGGGAGAGAATGGTTTTGAAAAGGGAGAAAAATACCCCACGGTCTCTGCCAACATAGGATTATAAAGATCCTTCCAGGAGCCTCTCCTTGGGTTTATCTCTGTGGTTGACTCCTTGACTCCTCTAAGGTGTGGCTTTGCCTAAATAGGTGGGTGGATCTCTGGGAATAGACTGCCCGTGACTTCTGTTCTCTAGTGGAATCTCTCATTTTCAATTCTGAGCTATCTCACATTTAAACACAACTTGATGGGTCTGGAAATTGTCTCAAAGGGGCCTTAACCATTCCATCCCAGTCAAAATTAGCAAAGAAGGTAGCATGCTGATTTTTCTCCTGGGCATGGAGAGAGACTGGAGTATGGGCTGTTGGATGCCAAGCCTAGGGTACTGAATGTACCTGAATACTGAAGGTAGTTTTATGCAGATTGACTGACACTTGAATCAAGTTGGAAGGAGAGGGCTGAATTTTGATAGACTGGAAGATTTCGAGAATTTCCCATGCTGTTTGGCTCAAGGAATGATAAACTTCTAGGAGAAACAGCTATACTGTGCCTGTTAAGACCATACAATCTTAACCTGAAAGGGACCTCAGAGACTATTGATCTAATAGTTCTCGCTCTCTCTCAACGAGTGAAGATATGTAGGCCTACAGGAAAGACCTACCTAAGGTCACATGGTGACAAAACCAAGATTGGGGTTTAAGCTTTTTGATGGTCATCACATTGACCCTGTATTCTGACTCAGTGATTAGGTTCTTGAAATGGAGTCCCCTTTCTTGCCCAAAGCAAATTACCCCCTGTTCTCAGGCTTTCCTGGTCCTCAGATAAAATGGAGTGGATAATTTGGGCAAAGTAACCAATGTTGGTGTTTGTGTGGTTTCTTGGTGAGAACTGGGGGTATCACAAGGTGCCTCCTGTTTCCTCCTTTCTCATCTCAATGCTGAGGTGTCCAGGGGCACACCCTAGTTCACTGCATACCAGCTAGTAGCTTTAATGAAGGGAGAACATTCCCTGTTCTCCACTCCTTCACTCGTGTACTTCAGGCTCTTTCTGGAGTATGACAGATAGGGAAGGGGAGTGGAAAATTCAAATCTGCTCATTCACATGAACCATGTCTACAGTCTGTCCAGGATTGGTTTCACTTTTATAACCAATTGTTTCCCACAGTCAGCGTGAATCTGTTAAGACATGCCCCTCTGCAACCCCTCCCTGCCAATTCTAATATTCTGTGTCTAGTTGCCAGTTTCCTGGGTCTGTTTTAGTAGTCAGAATGGAGAACTTATCAATTGCCATCTCCACTTTCTGGTGATGTTAAAACAGTTGGAAAAAAAAAGCCTTTCTTCCTGCCTACTCTCTTTAACTGCTTTTAGATCACAAAGTCTTTGGGACACTTTTGGATTCCCTAAAAAGAGATTGTTTTGAATTTTCAAGGTGTTCTTGAGTGTTTGGTTTGTTAGAGTTCAAAAGTTTCTTCACAATTGTCAAGTCCAACCCTTCTCATTATATAGATGTGGAAACTGAGGCCCACAGATAGGGAGGGACTGGCCTAGAATGATGCAGCACGTCAGTAGCAAAGCAGGACTTGAATCTAAATCTTAGTTAGAGGGCCAGTCTTGGTAAAACCTTTTCTATTTGCTGGGTTTTTAGCCTGAGCTCAACAGGTCAAGGGAAAGGTGGTTAAATGGTCATTGATGGGGCCATTCATGTCAGCAGACATAGAGCCTAGCTCCTTGAAGTACTTGAAGGTTTCTGGGTCTGCATTCGGCTAAACTTTAACAGGGGCAGTGTGGACTGTTTATTCTCCTGCCATTCCTAGCATTGCTTGAGCCACTTGAGTGGCACTAAAGTGGTACTTGGTGAAAAGGAGGCAGAATCGCAGTCTTTTAACCTTTGAACTAGCCCTGCCTACAGACTTCAGGGTGGGGCAATGGATCAGGAATGGAGGTTATGTGACAGAAGGGTGACTCTTTGGATCCTGCATCTCTCCACTTGTCTGGTTATCCAGTTCACTTGTCCTTTTGTGGAAGTGTAGATGATAGAGTCAGAGCAGGAACCATCTTGGGGATTTCCTTTAGGCTTCTCCTTGAATAGCCCTCTGGGCAGAGAGGGGCTGGTAGGGCAGGAGGGTCTTCATGGGACCCTTGAAGGCACCAACTAGTCTATATTTCCTCATGTTAGGCTTGGAGAGGAGAAGGTTGCTCTATGAGTGGGTGACAGAGATGGTATTGACCACTATTTAGCTAATTCACGATTATTCTCTAGCTTCCCGTAACAATAGTTTGTTTTAAGGGTGTTCTTACTTTTCTCTCTCTTCCTCCTCGCAGGAGACTGCTATACTGAATGGTGGAGCTAGAAAGGACATTTAGAGGTCATCTGGTCTATCTTCCTGACTCCAAATCCAGTTCTCTCTGGATGGGATGAGATGACAGCTACATATATTCTGAACTCTGTTCTAATAGTATTGCTTGGCAACAGTGTGTCTAGGTCCCTTTTGTATCTTCCTGGGAGTCACACCCACTGGAATTTCTAGCCTCAAGGTCCCCAGAGAGGACAAGATCAGGCTACCAACACTACTAGGGCTGGGCCTTTCATGGCTAGAGTTACTGATTGGCATCATTAATGACTGGGAACAGTCTGTTTCTGATCTTTCAAAGATAGAACTGAGTTTATCATGTACATCTTTCCCAACTCACAGTCTTTTCTGCCTGCTACCCCACCCCACTCTTCTGCCCCCATAGAAAAAACAGAGTACAAAGGTGGTCTCCTTTGGGGCAGTCTGTTGGTCAAGTGAAGGAGGTGCTCTTATCATGATTGGCTGGCTTTGCTGTTCATCCCTCCTCCCATTTCATGCTTGATAGAGCTGAAAAACTTTTCAATTCTAGGTTCTGATTTGTGGTACAGGAGCGGTCACTTAGAGGGTTAGCTCAGGAATACATTGATTTGGAACATGGGTGTTGGGAAACGGCAAGTAACCCTGACCTGAGAATTCTTCTCTTTCCATGTAAAAAGAATGCCTTCCCTATTTTCAGTAAAATGATCCAAATGAAGTAGGCCTTTAAGGCAAATCTCTTCTTCAGGCCCTCAGTCTCTCTAGCTTGTCATGAGGGAACTGTACTAGTAATAGGTATATTCTAGGGACCCTTCCAGCACTGATGTTCTTGAGGCATTCTTTCCTCAAAATTTGAGTGCTGTCTATGTACTAGGCAGTGTACTGGGCTATGCTGGGAATACAAAGTTGAACAGCACTTGCTAAAGTGTGTCTACTTGTCCCCTTACACCTCTGGAGTGCTGTTTCTTCCTGGGTACTTAGTTCAGGATCGAGAGTTTCTAGCTTGGGAGTTGGTTTATTTCATTAGTGGCTCTGACAAGAACACTGGCATGAGTGTTCTGGGCCATTTCTTCTTGAGTCTGCGGAGGGGAATGTCTTTCCTTACTGAGGAGCAAGAAAGAAACCAAATGAGAGCCTCAGATAAACACTGAAAACTTCATGTGCTCCCCTCCCTTTCTTCTCACTGTCTGTTGGTAGCGTATACCCTTTGTAGTTCTGCTGAAAGGCCAGGAAGCTACTTCCATTTCAAATTTCCATTTAAACTTGTGAGTGTGATAGTTAGATATATTGGTAGGCACTGAGGAGGTGGTGGGCATAAACCAACCTCCTAATGTGCCAACCACTAGTGAGCTGAGGGCTGGCTGTTGTGGGGTACAGCATTTCAAGTGCATCCTACTTAGGATGACCCAGAGCTTTCTCAGCCTTAAGTTCCCGTTAGCCGATTGTTCTGAATGGTCTAGGTTTCTTACAGGAGTGTTTTGAACCACAGAACCACTGAACTGGCCTTAAACTTTTTAATTTAACCTTTATGTTTTAGATGGGGACACCAAACCCCAGAAAAGGGAAGTGATTTGAGTGGACTGGTAATAGAGCTGGGACTAAAATCCAACTTGCCTGGCGTCCGGTCTAGGGGAGAAACTTTGAATGTCTGCCTTCTAAGTGGCACTCTCTGCAGGGTGCTCAAGTGTTTCTCCCTGTGCTGAGCCTGACTTGACCGTAGTGTTAGTATGGTCATGGGAAGAGCAAGTCCTTCTGAGTGTGTAGAGCTGACCTTAGAGGTTACTTTATATGGAGATGGCTCGGGCTCTGACTGTGCCTTTAGGACTGTTTGTAGCACTTCCCAGGAAGGTAAGTGCTCTGCTGTGACTCTAAAGGGTGGTCGAAAGTGGATGTGTGCACTGAAAGGTGGTAAGGAGAGGAGACTAGCCACATTTTCCTGCTTGAGAGTAGGCTTCACTGTCCTAAGAGTCTTTATGGGGTAGAGTTACTTCTTTTCCATATTCATAGCTAGAGGGGCCAGCCAACTTGTTTGGGATCACATAAAGTTGGTAATAGTTTTGGCAGGAGAACTTGACTTTTCTGATTCCATGTTAGTGGTCTCTCACTGGACTT